TTTGATACGTTACTCGGTTGATGATTGCTGTCATTTTTGCCGTATCCAACAGAGGATACATTATTTTGAGGTAATTGTAATGCTTTGTGCTCTTTGAATAATCCGTGATTAAACGAGATTTATAGGCAAGTTTAACGTAAAATTTCAAACATTTACATTATTTGCAATATTCTGCCATTATTTAGACAATTAAGTAGATAATGTACCCTTAGAACTCCTTTTTTCAATTATTTATACTTGTTTTTTTTTGGGCGCAGACTTATGCTAAATAACATACCAGCAGATGAAGTGGGTAAGGAGGCGCTTTGGAAGCCACCTGAGAGCTGTCTCCGTCAGGCAGGTGTCGAACTGGAGCGTATTGCCAGACTGGCGAGTCCGGGCGATCCGAACTGTTTGCTTACTGGGACAGCTGCAACGAAGTCGGCTTTCATTAATCTGGTCGTCAAGTCTACAGTGCTGCATCTTGGTAAATTCTACCTTGATGGCTGTTTTCCGGGTACCCTTTGGGGGCTAAAAGTTTAGACAACTAGTAGATTCTTTGATCACCTAACAGATCCCAGAGGCCATACGGATGAATATGGACAGAACATACGATAGAAAAACAACTTGCTTTTAATAAACTTAAAGTTGGATATTGAAAACTCTTGTGCCAAACAGACTCAACCAATTAATCGTTTTTTGCAGTCTTAGGGCTAAAATATTTTTCTATCACATGCTATTCTGAAGCATTTTGGGTAAAGGGAGGATGTTAGCAGATACCCGAGCTATCTACTCAATTAACTGCCGTCCTCAACTATTCGGTGATCTTATGTTTAAGCATTAATTGGAAACATGAGCCGATATATATTATCACTTGCCAACGAATATTTCGGTATAAAATTTTAATGAAGAGGCTTTTTTATCAAAGGTAGTAATCAGCCATAAATACAAAACGTCAGCTCACCAAACCCTTATTTGAGGGTTTTAATCAACAAATGCATTTCCCATATTTCTTTTAACGTGAGGAAGGACTGGCAGTTGAATTTTCCCACATTGATATAACAAGGCCTTGCGTTATCATTGAATCACACATAGACTTGCCTCTAAAAGGTATTCCCATCCAGTACGGTCTTTACTTTCAACTACGAGTATTTTTAACATTAGAACCTATTCAGGGTGATAGGAATAACTTTAAGCAAGCAGGGCTATGCGAAATTTAATGGAAACGGGAAGTCTATTGATGCCATTGTGGGAAACTTCAACTATCCGTTTTTCATCACCTTATGTGACCTTATGCAGGTAGTAACTATTTGACTAAAGAGTTGGAAATGCTGACAGATTTATTCCTGGAAAATAATTATCCTTTGGGCCTAATTCTGAGTAATATACCACTACTGTGGAATACATTTTTAGACGTATACTATTTGGTCAAAGATAGACAAGCTGAGACCTTTTCTCATGTCCTTATTTTATCACCATGCCTTCTTTCTAATAATATCGCTGAACTAGTGAGAACATGGGGGATAAAAACAATGTTTAAAGAAATCCTCATATTTCCTTCTGTTATGCTATCTTTTCGAGAGCAGTATAATCCATTATTAAGATCCGGCTGCTACAAGATTGTCTGCTACTTTGGTCTACTCGTTGGTGAGGCATGCCGTCCTGCTTGACAAAGATTATGGGAACGCAAAAATACTTTCAAAGGGAGCTAGGTCCATCGGTCAAAAGGGGCCGAACACATGACAAAGAATGGAAATGAGATAGGATGGTATCAATCAAGTAGGTTTGCTGATTATGCTACGTCTACTGTTGAAATAATGTTAAGAGGGGCTATAGAAATTAATAGATTAGGGAATACTTTTAATATGAGGAACGATGATATAAAGTTGAGTAGGAGCTATTTATGCTTGATTGATAGATTGCAGGAGAGAGAGAGAGGGCGTTGAGCCGCCATCCAAAAGAAGGTGACTAAACTTGTCTGCTCATTGATGGTTCTAACTTCATTCACACTCGTCGAACATGTTAGATTAAGCTCAATAACCAAACCAGACGTACGGAATTATGCAGCCCCTCCCAGATTAAATAACAAAAAATGACAATAAATTTCTTATTTATGGAATTATAAAGCCAGTGCGCTGAGTTGAAGGGTTTCCATGGAGACGACACCAAATGAACAGTACGATTGAGGTAACAAGCTGATGAATTTATCCTCGCTTCTCCTTGATCCTAAAACCACTGCGATCCTAAAGAAAGGACTAAACTTTTCTCTTCAAAGTAGCATAAATATTCTTGAGTACATTCTCGTTAAGGTAATCAATATCTCTGACAAGTTCCCTCAGGAGACAAAAATGGAAATAGGAATAGAAATACTTCCTAGAATCTTGACACATTATGAACCAATGCACAAGTACAGATTTGCAAGGATACGAAGGAATGGTCTATTGATCCTTTAGATGGAAAAGGGAGAAGCGACAGTTATAATGGACAGAAAAAAATATGCATAGAAAATGGAATGTACTGGTCTACCTTTCATTTTGTTTGAGAAGGTGGGTCGAAGGGATTCGTAGCTTGGTCTCACTGGATACCGAAGGAGGGTTGGTCTGGACTTTTGTCTGTCGAATTGTGCGAAGAAGACCTCGGCTCTCCGTCCTACGACCCCAATGACTGAGCTTTCGTCCGTTCTGTGATGGACATCGTCAGAGCCAGAAACCATTATTCACGAAAAATCACCAAAAAAACACTAAACCGAGAAAAGGTGTCTAGCTGAGATCCTACGTACTTCTGATACCTCACTTTGCGATCTTAATGAGGCATTCGATGATTTGGTAGGCTGACGTATGCTTGTCCTACATGCATGCAAGTGGGTCAAAGTGATGCAGGTAGGTTAGCGGATGTGATCACAATTTTGGTCAATGTAAATAAACTAGAGTATGATCCAGTAGTCCTGGGTCTTGTTACAGCTTCGTGGATGCGTGTTTGCGTGTGTATGCAACAACCCCGAGATGGTTTATATTTTTTGTTTCGAAAACAAGCTCTAATTTCTTCTAGTTTTCTCTTACTCAGTGGCTCTTCCTGTTGCCTTTCTTTCTATCTCTCTCTCTCTCTCCCTCTCATAATATTTAGAAGCCAGAGATAGTTATTATTTAGTTTCCTACATTAGTTCCTCTTATTTAGGATGTTCTCCGTTTTATTAATTTCAATGGACTATCTGATCTTTCCTCTAGCTCTGAAGTCCCCCTATCCGGAAAAATGTCGGGATTTAGAGCACTCTATCTGGTGTCCTGTAGCGACCACATATTCAGCCACTTCCGATTTCTGATCCATAAACCTTTGTAGGAGGTTCTGTTCTGTATGTATGGGTCGACGAGTCTTTCCCACATAAACACTACCACATGAGCACAAAACCCTATAACAACCTTATCTGTAGAGGACGTCTGAATATTCTCTGAAAGAAGGCATGATCGAGGAAAGCGTTATTGTTTCCTTATACACTGTCTTGACCCTCTATTTCCTTAATAATTCGCATATCTTTCTCGAAAGCTTGCAGAATCGTAGCATTAGGAATCTGGCCGAAGAGTTGTCTACTTCCTTGTCTTGGCCAAAATAATGGTTTTCCTTCATATTATTTCCCAATATTTTGAAATTGTTAACACTTAATCCTACAGGATAATAGTTGTTGGAGGGACTTTCATTTCCTATGAAAGTGCATTAATAAGAGATTTATAGGTCGATCACAGCAGAAGAGGACGGATGAATTCGGTTGTACTGCAGCCGTTAGGCTTTTGTACGACATTCAAGTTGACGCAGTCCACGAGACCTACTCCCTCGTTTCGGGTGAAAACGGGCTGAGCTTTTGTCCAGCATCTGATTAACAATATTAGAGCTGGGTCTCATTCCTGTAAAAGTCTCACGTTAACACTAAGGCAAGAAGATTTTCCGGATCTATCTTGCCTCCTATATAGACTCAATTAAGCCAAAAGAAAATAAAAAGCTTAGAAAGATAGATATAGAATAGTTTGGCTAATTATTTTGCATACTGGTCCTGCTACTTTTGCTCGAGTGTGTGCGTTTGTGTATGTGTGTCTGTTAGCGTCTATACGCAATACGGTCCTAAATCAGATTTATCAAAAGGCTAATGTCAGGCTCTGGACATCAAAGCCTAATGATCAAAGCAAAAGCCCTGACCGAGATTTCGTAAGTCAGTAAGCAAGTTTGGTTGAGATATGAGCTTGTTATCATGTAAGTTAAGTTACGAAGCCACTTGTCCAAACCTCTCAATCTAGGATCAAAAGGCGATGTGGTGCCAAGCTTTTGATTAGACGACGCGAAATGAGGAATCAAGATTAGTCATCAATTCATGTGATCTCTGCGCTAAAGGAGGTTGAGCCATGGTTACGTATGGGACGTAACAAAAAGCAAACATTGAATGGGAAACGTTTGAGGATAGGCCAATACAAGGTGATACGGCGACTGGTAGTTGAATTTTTTCAACAATTACATGAGTAGACCTTACATTTCCATTGAATTTCACGCAGCTTTGCTTTCGAAATGGTGTTCTCATCCAAGCAAGAGTGGACTACAATTATTCTCTTATAAACACTCCAAGTGGGTCTCGAACTCCGAAACTGCAGCGTATAATCTCCACACGTCAACCACTACGCCATGGTACCACATTTTTTCTTCGATCGCAGGTAAGATGCGAATTTCAAGGAATGCCAGGCATTTTCCCATCTCAATTAATTTACTGGGATTGGCAATACAGCACATGTATATTTGCTATAGCAACCGATGACATTGATTATTTTTTATTTTGAGTAGGCTTTCGCGACTACCAGTAAATCAGTTATATGAACTCCGATCACCCTATTTCGTTCAAGGTGATGAATGATCGGCTTAAACGAAATAGGATGACTACAGTTTCTATAACGCTTATTTCTGCCCTTTTAAATTAAGGAAGTTATTGCGCGGTACATCACCTCACGAAATAATGTAACATTTTTACGGAAGAGCTGCCAAGCTCTCTTGAAAAAATGAGTTTATTTGATATAGAGAAGAATAAATCACAATTACTCCATCTGCCAAGAAGACTTTATTTGTGCTGTTACCCTATTTTTCATGATCTATATATTACCTTTAGGCCTATTCTTATATGCGACTTGATTCAAAGGCTGGGGAAAAAAACAAGTCGGAATATATTAATTATTCTGTAAAGGTTTAACTATTTGATGTTTCGGCTTTTGATTTATCTTCAACTTCAATATTAATGAAATAATTTGACGGATTCTAAACTTGCTTATGCTTAGAATCGCCCAATTGTGCAGCTCTAAGAATATCTTTAATGCAAGCAAGGTAAATGTTTACATTCAGTCTAGTCGGTCGTATTACCCGACGTATTTGTCTTATGATACTTTTCGCAAACACATACACACGCACACGCAAACTCATGGATATATTAAATCTTGTTCCTTCCAGCCACTTGGACTTGCCCATTCACTGGTCGCATTGCATTCAGTCCGTCCTGCTGGAGGCCAGATATTCGAATTTCGCTGGATTCAGATCGGCCTAATGCACTAGGCTTTCCAGCTGATGAGGATGGGACAATGCATGTGTCTGGCCAGACTCAGCCTCGAGCAACACCCTCTTCTCCTCCACTCCGGCTATCGCCACCCCGAATGCTTTGGATCCTTGAGCCAGAGGAGTTAGAAAATCTCGATTTGACTCGTTTGGATCTGGTTGTACTCAGCTCTGGCTGGTCCAATTCTCCGTTCGGTGAAGGTACAGACTCAAGAATAGTTGGAGAACAAGAGAATGATGAATGGCTAGAACTCAGGCGGCTTTCGCCCTCATCACAAGTTGAGGCGAAGATCTGGGCTAGCCAAGAAGAAGAGTTGGAGACTCGAGCTAAAGCGGCTAATGCACGTATACGACAAAGAGAAACACCGCTGCGTCTTGTGGAACTGCTTATTCAAGCTGGTATGAGATATCATTGCTTAAGAGGCTTTATTTTGTATTTAAGTAGTTTGTGAGGCTATCAGTAGTTCTTGAATAATGACTTTGTCTCTATAGGTTACC